AAAAGGCTCCCAGCATTCCCTGCATCCTTCCCTCATCCAGCTGAACATTCCCAGCTCTCCCAGCCTGACATTGGATCCATCCCCATCCCGACTCCTCTTCGGGAAGGAATTTTGGGAATTCAGTGGGAATTTAGGACACCAGGAAGGGTCTCCCTTCCCTTTTCCATCCCCGAATTCCATAAAAATCCCTCAGGGATGGATCCTGAGTGTCCTGGATCCCAGAATCCCGGAATGGTTTGGGATGGGATCCATGGATTTTCAATCCCATCCCATTCCAATCCTGATCCCAGGTTGCTCCAAGTTTTCCTTGGATACTCCCAGGGATTCTCTGGGAATTCCTTCCCAAGTACCACCCCAAGCTCCCCTTTCCCAGTGACAATCCCATTCCCTGGCTCCCAGCCCCTCCATCCTTTATCCCAAATCCCAACTCTCCTGGACAATTCCATGGATTCCAATTCCACTTTCACTGACGGATCCTCCCTCAAGGCCCTGCCTGGGCCTCTCCAGGTTTTTCCCTGGATATTCCCATTTCCCGCCCTCTCCCGGCAGGGGGTGGCTGGACCGTGATCCAGAGGCGCCAGGACGGATCCGTGGATTTCAACCGGACCTGGAACGAGTACAAAGAAGGATTTGGGGACCTCAACGGGGAATTCTGGCTGGGAAACGACAACATCCACCGGATGACGAGCCAAGGGGATTATTCCCTACGGATCGACCTGGAGGACTGGAATAACAAACACAAACACGCCTTCTACCAGGTCTTCAGGTAAAACCTGGGATGATTCCCTGGCATTTCAAACCCTGGCAATGGGAATTCCGCCTGGAGAGGTTTCCAGGCTGGGCCCAGTCTCTCCTTCCCTTCCCACCTGGGTTTCCATGGATTTGGGATTTCATCCCGAATTTAAAGCTGGATGGGGTTTTGGGAATGTGCGGCATCATCCGGCCATGCCCAAATCCCAAATCCATGGGAGAAAAGAAGTGTGGGATCCAATGGATATTTCCTGACTTCTCCCTGGTTTTTTGGCCCCAAATTATTGAGCTGTGTGTCCAAAATCCAAGGATTTTGAGGAATTTGTCCCAGGAAGGGACTCCCGATTTTTCCCAGTTTGGGTTTTTGTCCTCTCCACTCATTTATTTCCCAGCATCCTTTGGAATCTCCAGCCCCTCCCCTCTTCCCGTGTTTTATTTTTCCAACCACATCAGCCACATCCTGGATTATTCCAGAGCATCCAGGAGTGTCTGGATTGTCCCAGAGGATCCCCCTTCCCTGTTTCTCCCAGAAATCCTGGAACGCTTTGGATGGAATTATGGGATGGTTTGGGTGGGAAGGGACCTTAAACTCATCCCATTCCATGGGCAGGGAGATTTTCCACAATCCTGGGGTGTTCGAGCCTGGCCGTGGACACTCCCAGGGATCCAGGACACGAACTCCAGGTTTTCCCATTTTTTTTCTGATCCCAAAACATTCCCTTCCCAAAAAATTTCCCTCC